ATATATATATATAAAATGGTATGTGGCTTATAACATATGCAAAAGTAACTGTGACAATAATAGCAAAAAGGCCAGCAAGGGGAAATGGAAGAATATTACTGTAAAGGTCTTTTAGCATTTTTGAAATAAAGAGCATATAACTTGCACGTACAATAGGATGAGTTAAAGATACATATACTCTAAATCCTAAAATGACCACTGAAATAAAACAACAGAGAGTTAGAGGAAATAAACTGTAAAGAAAAATATAAAGAGTCATATTCAGTCAAAACAAGGCAGAAAATGATGAGAAGAGAAATAAGACAACAGACAGATGTCCATCCATGTCAAAAATCAGGTTTGATACAAATAATCTAAATACCCCCATAGAAGGCAGCATTTGTCAAACTGGACAAATAAGATGCAGCTAGGTGCTACCTTGTAAGAGATGACTTCAGATATGGTGAGTGGGGAAGAATCACTGCACAGACACTGCTCATGGGAAAGCTGTGAACAAGCAGACATCAGAGCAGGAGCAGGAGACAGAGAGAGGAGGAGGAGTGCTGCACGGCATCCATGAGGAAGTGTAGTGCGTAAACACCTACCTACGTGGCTAATAACAGGGCCAAACTGCACGCATTAATACCTGCAGAACATGGAACAGGTCCTTCTTAAGCTTAGATGGAATGTCCACTGAAACAAACCAAATTCTGAAAACTGTAAAAGACTCAGGCATGTGAAGTATACTCTGACAATAAAGGAATGAAATAAGAAGCCCCAAACAGAAAAATATCTGGAAAATGCCCACAGGTTTAGAAACTCAATCACATACTTCTAACTTTGTGGACTCTGACTTCCAGTGTGTGTTTTGTCATTTAAGTCAGTGTGTTATCAATGTGAAGTCAGGGATCAGGACTTGCTCAGCATCACAAAGCCAGAAGGGTATCTGTTCTTCCACTCTCCATCCCTGGCCTTCGGTGACCTGAGGCCATATTCCTGCACCTACCTGTGGCTTGGAATGCGGACCCGTGCACAAGAGGCAGCCTGTGCTCCCCAAGCCCTGTGGGTTCAGTCTAGTAAATCTTCCAGTGGACAAGCAGCTAAGCTGCAGCTTCCAGTCTACTGAATTGGATTTGGTTATGGCTTCTACAAAGTTAACTTTTATGGCTTTCATGAATTAGTCAACCTTGGCACAAATTATTCCCAAATTAGGAGACCCCTAAATCTTAGGGCACTAGTGACCCATTTCCAATTACAGACCAAGACAGCTGGTAGCACAGGTCCCCTGGTCACCATTAAAAGTAAGATCTTGCTAAGCAAGACCCTGGCTGAAAATAAAAAAGGGCTGGGGCTGTAGCTTAGTATGAAGGCCTTGAGTTCAATTCCCAGTTATCCACCCCCCTCAAATAAAGTATTTCTCCTGGCTGAAGCCCCATGTGAACAGGCCCTGGACACAGGAGGAAGGAATCTATGAAGGAGGAAGGGCATGCAAAGCTTCATGTTGTGGAGTTGGGAAGCGGCCCCGGGTATGAGTTCGGGACAGGGGTGAGCCCAGTGAGCCTCAAGTGAGTGAGCTAGACAGGTGGGACACTAGACCATAGGAGTCATGAAACATGCTGTGTTGAAGGTGGGTGGATCCAGCAGCAGTGCCTGGCAGTGCGAGGACACAGACATCCCTGGAACCAAGGTCGAGCCTGGTGTGAGGGTGGGGTGTGCACAGTCCATAAGCTTCATAAGCAAGGTTGTCTGGGCAGCAGGCCCTGTCCCTGGGGGCTGTTAGCAGGTTTGAACCACTGCAGACACTTGTAGAGCCCTGGAAATCAGACAATCCAACTGGTACTGGTCTGACATGCTCTGGGTCCCAGGCCTGGGGTTGGTGAGTGGTGGAGGAGTTTGCAGCACTCAGTGCCCCAGGCTGGGATTGCAGAACCATCTGGCATGGATTGTGCTGCTTATCTACAACCCTTCTGTGTGGAAGCCCCAGGAGGTGGCCCTGATGTGGATGACAGACATGGGATCTTGTGTAAGGGAGTCAAGGGGCACCAATCAGGTACAGGGGGTGCCCACATTGCTGGGTACTGCTCCCTTCAGGTCTGTGAGATGAAACCTGGCCCCCAAGGCAAGCAGCCTCTCTGGGGTTTTCAGGACATGGTAAGAGAGGCAGAATTAAATTTCTCCCAAACCCCCAGCAAGAGATTAAACCTACCCCCAAAACGTGTACTGACGGTAACATCTGTAGTCTCTTCACTAGAGACCCATCCTGGAACACTGTCTCTTGTATCAAAACCATCTGGGGAATCTGTGTCCTATCCTTCTTGATGACAAAAACTTCTTAAACCCCAAGTGGAGACAGCCCCTGTGGCTGGAATACTCCACATGGGACTTCTCACCCGTAAGTGCCGACGGGCGTGAAGGGAAGCTGCATGTC